AAGGTCTGACCCAGCTGCTTCACAATGATGCCAAGGACCTACCCTTTTCATTGCTGTGTTCTATCGGCCATAGTCAGTTTCCTACTATGGCTGGCTTTCTTTATAATTACAGATGGCTGCCTGCATCACCAATGGCTATAATCTTCCATGTTAATGTCTAGTGAAAAAGAACCACAGTCTTTATTTCAACTTCCCCAGTTAAGACTCTGAGATTAAATTTAGACCTGCTTAGTTTATGTGTCCACCCACTCATGAACCAATGAATGTAGTTATGGGGAAGCAAGAACCAGATTGGCTTAGCCTAGATGACATGCATGCTCCAATCCTGATGCCAATCACATTAGACAGGGCAAAGCAAGGACCAGATTGGCTTAACCTAGCCATGTGTTCCATCCCTAGAGCTCAGGGGGACAGAGTCATCTTTTCCAGAAGGACTTCACCTAAATAGAGAAGAGATGATTCCCACAAGGTAAATCTGAGTCATATTGTGAAAGTCAAGAATGGCTGGTGGCTGGTAAAAACAGATCCTCAATAACATGTCAAAAATAAACACTCACAGACATAAACATTGTATAAGCTATAGTTTATTGATCTAACTCACAGGAGATATCTTTAACAGCTACTACTATTGGCCATTGGCCATCAGAAAGGGGGTTGTTAATCACAGTCTGCTAACACCTTTAACAGATATCCCTGAATCTCAACGACGCAACACCACACCACTTTGTCAAAGGAATGGAACATACTGTGGGGTGGCGGGCACTCTGCTCCACACAGTCATTCAGGAATCTAGGTTTTTGCATCTGATAACTCCACCACATCCAAGGACCCTGGAGATATTCAGGGTTGAATGTAGATTGTCTACATTCAATGAGAAGATGGGGAAAGGAAGCTCACAGAGAGAAGGCACACCCACACATGCCCACCTAGGCCCAGAGGTAACACATGATGCTTTTGTTCTCATTCCACTGACTGGAACTAGCCCATACAGGGCCCCAGTCCCATCTAGATACAAGAGAGCTATGAAACATGGAGTAGCAGTGCTCAGGTACAGGAGAGATGTATGTACATTGGTGAACACAATCACCCTCCCACCAGCTTGTCATTGATCACAGCTTCTGGAATGTCTATAATTCTTTTGTATGCTCATTGTAGAAAGTTCAGAGACCCCACAAACACCTTTGAGAATTTTAGAATTCACAAGAGGAAATGCAGAGTGAAATGTGGTCAATTACCACTCAGAAATATTCACTCCCTCTACTCTCTTCCTAACAAGGACAAAGGATATCTGCCCAGTCCTTGATACTGTCAGGACATGTGACTTATGTTGGCTGCTAGAATGAGGCAGAGGAGACATAATACTCATTCTGTCTTACAGTTTTTGCTTGCCCTTTTGTGCTCTGCTGCTTTCACTGGCCCATACTGGCCTAGTGTCTCTGTACCAAAAAGGATGAGATCTACATGGAACAGAGCCACACCTGCCAGTCTTTCCTAGGTCACCCAGCCATGATGATCAACCCTCGGCTATGTGGGCAAGTCGAGCTGTGATCAGCAGAGTCACCCAGCCCAGACCATCTCCATAAGCCAACCCCCAAATATATGTGAGGTACTATTTAAGCACTTGTTATTGCATGTCACTGAAATGTTGTGGTTATTTGTTATGCTTGCAGAGGGTGCCATGTTTTCCCAGGTTATCTTCCAGTGAAGACTGAGGAGGAAGTTATTACAGAATGCTGTGGGTAGGTACTAGAGTGTCAGGCACATGTCAGAAGAAATTTCCCAGACTCTGATGAAGATACTGTGCTCTGAGTGATCACACATGACCCAGGGATGGAATTCCAGAGTTGTGATTCATTTCATCCCTCATGGCCTGGATCCAGGGCTGCCAAGGACGAGGGAATCAACAAAGCCCCATGCATCTGCCAGAAGGTGCTGGAATCAAAACAGAAAGCAGTTCACCCCCACTCCACTCTCCTCAAAAGCATGAGGTATCCACTCAGAGAAGTCACTGAGCTGTTTTGCTGACAGAGCAGCCAAGAAAGGTAGAAATGAAGCTGGAAGAAGTTCAGCCATGGAGAGCAGGGAGGAATAACAGTCTAAAGTTCCCCATTCTGAACAAAAGAAACTGACCGGCAATCAGACTTCCAGGAGAAGTCCACCAAAAACACTACAGTCAGCATCTAACACCCACATCTCAGATTCCAATGCCATTTCCAATGGAAAAAACAAAAAAGGAACCAGGGATCTCTCGAGAAATGGCTGATGCTAGGACTGAGATAGGAAATCTACAAGATGGGCCGATGGGCCTGGAGGATCTTACTGTACCAGAAAGTAGGAAAATACTCAAGGAAAACAACATGAGCACTCTGCCGGGGTATCCAGGGAACAGAGGAGCAGACTGAAAGAGCTCCCAACGGACAAAGCTGGAACAATTTGAGCAAGAAAATGAATAAAGTAATATTGGATTATAATCCAAAGCATAAAGTAAATATCCACGCTCAATACTGATTAAAAAATAAGCTATTTCATACACATATACATCAATAAATAAATGACCAAGAACAGGCAAATCTCCCTTGCAGATGAATTCCCCAAAATCTACATTGCTGTGCTGCCCTCAAGGAGCTGGATTAAAACTCCCACCTGAGTTAATTACTGCACTGTGAAACAATCTGCAGCCTCTGCAGCACAAGTTCAATCCCTGGCCAGGGAGCTACCCACATGGCACAGCAGACCTCTCCTGTCTCGCCTGCTGCTCCCCTCAGCAGTGTATTTCAATCTGCCTGTTCTGTTCCCCACTCTGTCTCTGGTGAATCCTCTCACATACACCCCCACATCTCTGGTCTATACCCCAGCTCCTGTATGCATAAATAAATAAATCTTTAAAAAAAAAAACTCCCACCTCTAAGTGTGGGTCATACATGGTGATTTCATTTTAAAGGGGCAAGGCTTGAGAAGTGTTTTTGCCATGGAGAGAGCACTACCTCTACTAGGTGATCAAGGTTAAGTCACACTGTCATAGGTATCCTTGGCAGGCTGTGATGAGAAAGGGTAATGAGAAAGACACTTTATTTCCATGTCTCCCTCCTAAAAATCCATTACTCCAGTCTCATTGTGAGAAAACCACCAGGTAATCCCAATTTAGGGGTATTCTGCACAATACCTGATCAGCACACCTCAAAAATGTCTAGGTCATCAAAAAATAAATCTGAGACCTTGTCATAGCTGAGAGGAGGCCGAGGAGACATAATGCATAAATGGGATGGGGTGCCCAGACTAGATGAGATCCTGAAACAGAAAAAAGACAAGTCAACAAGTGAAAATAAAGGAAATCTGGGTAAAATAAAGGCTTGGGTTAAGAATCATGTATCAGTATAAGTTCATTAACTGGAAAATTTTCCACACTAACATAAAATACAATTAATGTTATTAATAGGGGGGACTGGGTGATAGACTGGAACCCACAATTTATCTGTGAATCCACATCAATTCTCAAAGTTATTTTTAAAATAATAGAACTAGAGATATTCTTTAATGTTACAGGAGGAAGTTTAAGCACAGACTCTAAAGTCAAGGAGATCCAGATTTGGGGATCTTGCAAGTCTTGCTTCATATTTATTAGCTGTATGACCCTGGGGAAGTCACTTAACTTCCCAGCATGTCAACTTCTTCATCTACAAAATGTGATTTCCTCACAGAATGGTAGGAAGATGTACAGTGCTCATACATAGGTCTCCAAGCGCACAACAAACAGTTCAGCGGCTGCCATCACTGTGATTTCTTTTTGAGTAGGAAAAGTCAACTAGGAAAATTGTCTTTTCCTAATCAATAAGAAATAAAGGAATAATTTCCAACCGGCTGGATATACTGAAAATACAAAACTAGTTTTAATGATCGTTGAGATAAACAGGTGGATATTCGAGTTCTGATGGCGTGGCGGATGGCACTGATCATTCACGACATCTCCTTCCTTCCTTCCCACTCTTGCCGCAGCTTCAGTGTAGAGCGTGAACGCCTCTCCCTGTTCTAACTTGTGGCAGGACTTTTGATATTTGCTTTGGCCAATGGGCCGTGAGCAAAGGTGATGCAATCCGATGCTTGTAATACCCTGTGTGCTGCAGCTTGGCCCCTTGAGCATTTGCCTCACTATGAGATGCTCAAGCACAGGTGGCCGCTGCTCCTCACCCTAGCCCTGGAGTGAGAGCATGTGGAGTGGCCCTGAATCCAAGCCGGGTGAACTCTGGCTAGTGTCCAGCCCCGTGGGAGAGAAATAAATGTTTGTTGTAACCCACTGAGATTCCGGGGTTGCTATGCAGCATTATCACAGTAATAGCTCACTACGAGTGCATTCTTAACAGAAAGACTTGGGCACAATCCATGTTTCTCCACTTAGGTTTTATGTTGACTCAGTGGAGGAAAAGTTATCTCAAGAAGAGCAAGCAGTGGCTCCTGTAAACCACCAGAATGGAAGAAGAGTTTACCTTATAAAAAAAATTTATGCCTGGGGTTGCTCATGGAGTCCTTCCACAGCCTTTTCTTAGAAGACCCCCATTCCTCATGTATTTTATTTTTCTTTATAGTAATTCATCATCTGACTATCCCTATCAACAGAGTACCCATTATATGCTAGACAGAGCAGACAGATCATAAAAATAATCCCTAGACCATGCAATCAGTACCCTTATAAACTTAGTTTTATTGTCCCCAGTTTACAAGAGGGGGAAATGAAGGTCCAGAGAGCTTCAATGAGTCACACAGCTGACAAGCAACATAACTCAGACTCGTGCTTGTAAGTCGAGGGTCTACCATCTGTCTTTCTGTATTACACCTATCTAAAAAGTGGACATGCATTTTTAAAACATACACCTGGAATTATGGGCTGAGGCAAGAAATCAAGAACCAATATTGGATTTAGAGATGCCTGGAGCTCAGCAAGGAAGACATCTGTGCACAAGTAGACTTCTCAGAGATCCTCAAGTTGCCACCTATTTTAACAGTACCTGTTAATTGGGCACTTGTTACATGCCAGGCGTGTCATGTGCTGGATGTGCAAAGGTGTAGGAAACATCAGGTATTGATTCGGTTTTGTGCTGAGGATAATGGGGATTCGCAGAAAAGTCTTCAGCTAGAGCTGTAAGAAAGCAATAAGAAGGCTATTTCAGGAGTCCTGGAATATAATGGCAATCTGGATGGGGTGATAGTGATGGGGACGGAGAAAAAGATTCACAGGTGGCCAGTGGGTAAAATCAATAGGGCTGAGACATGACAGTGGGAGTGGCAGGGGCTGGGAAAGGGAATGATAAGGGTGACTCACAGATTTCTGATTCAGGCAACGTGACTGGTGGCACCATTTTCTTAGACACAAGTGTTGCCGGGAGGGCCTGAAGCACCAGGGGCCAGGGGCACTCACAGGCAGGGCCACTGAGATGTCCCCGCAGCAGCCCGCAGCCAAGAGTCTAAAGGTCAGGATAAGTGGCACCTGATGTTGGACTAAACAACACTGAAGGTAGCAGCAACAGAGAGGTGACACAGGGTGTCACCTCATAAACAGCTTTGTGAGTTGTCGGCCCAACAACAAACAGCTCAATGAGACACCAGGCCCCAGAGCATTTGGTGCTTTTTTGCTGCTTCTTTCCAAGGCAAATACAGAGTCAGCATCCAGGCATCTTGGGCCCTGTGGGGAGTCTCAGCAGCCTCCCAAGCCAGCTCCTGTCTCCCTGATCTCCTCCTTCAGATTCCCCAGCCCTAGTTGATCCCCTCTGATTGGGCCATTTAACCTGGCTGGCACCTGAGGGAGGGGCTGCCCACAGGCAGCAGCTTTTGATGCTGGTGGGTAAAGCCACCACGTTTTCTAATGGGTCCTGTTGCTTAGGTGGCAGCTGAGAAAAAGCCCATCTTGCCCTGCAGTCCCCACTGCAGGGCTCTGGTTACAATTCAGGTTTAAATCTTGAGCAAGAATATTTCCTAGGTAGTCAAATTTCCTTCAAAAGGCACATAATGCCCGGCAGCATCTTTTGTGGCATGTTAACAACCAATGTTGACCTCTGCTTTCATCTGTTATTTCCTGGAGCATTTGCAAAATGGTGCTATTTGAATTCTCTTATTCCTTCATTGGACTGCTTCTGTGAAGCAAACTTTTCTTCATCAACTATTTGGCCATAAAAAAAATACCATTCCTATAGGAAGGACAGATAACTGCTTGATTCTTTAATTTACCAATTTTCTAAGTAATGATTTAGTTCTTTAACACTTTCCAAAGCAAACCAATGAGTTTTGGGGTATGTTGCTATATATTTGTTTTGTATTGTTTTTAATGTCATCATGAACTTATAGACCTTAATAAAATTGGTGTGCTTCAATGCATTTCAGTGGTTATTCTTGGCCATGCTTTAAATTGATAGGTATTCACAATGACCAAAACTACAAGGTACAAATATTTTTAAAGAGAGAATACATCATGCAATCACTACTTTCAGTTCAAATTTAGCATTACAAGGCTTTGTTTCCTTCCTAGATTTTGTATTTTTATATATTTCCTCTTAGCTGGTAATCTTGGTTCTTAACACTGATATAAATCTGTATTTACTTTATCCAGTATGTACCTAACATAATTTTGAAATAACAAAACCAATGATAGCCCTAGTAGTGAAATGAAGAAGAATGGTTTCAGCTTTTTATTTTTTTAATTCTCTTTTGTCTTTGGGGTGTTTGCCTCTAACAATGTACAGTCTGAATTACTGAGCTTTAAAGTCATGTGTATGATTAAGTCACCAAGTCAATGCACAGTTACACGCGTTTCTTTTGCTTTTCATTTTAAAGAAATACTTTCCATTTTGAGTTTTGTAATTCTAAAGAAATTCTAAAGAAATGTACATGGTTTCCAAGTCAAAAGAAATTTTCATATATTAATGGTTTTAAATGTGTCATCCACGCTTCTCAGATTGCTTTTTGTTATCTGGAAAATCTTAATTATCTTTACTAAAGGAGAGAAATCACGCTATGTGTCATTCAGGCTGTTAGAAATGATGGGATTTTTTTTCCTATGAAAAGAAAAAAGAAAAATATTCAGCCCTGCAACTTGGAACCATTTTTGTTTCCCCTAACAAGGGCTTGTCTGTCAGTTTTCCAGTTTCAAAGCCCACTGCACAGCCTGAATGAAAACACAATGTCATTACGATTATTGAAATCAACTAAATGTCAAGGTTTTTCCATTTTGCATGCTGCTTCCTTTAGACAAGAATGCTTTTCAGAAAATCTTTAATCCCCTTGGGATTCTTTTTCCCCATAAAGCTTTTATAATTAATGTGACAACACAAACCCAGCCATATCTGTGACTTCCTTCCACAGATACACAAATAGAAAGTACTAAGCATTCTAAGAGTGAACTTGTACATTGTCCTGGAGAATTGGCACAATCCCTGCTAGAAGCTTTGACCTCATCGTTGAGTGTTCTCTCTCCTCTCTCACTGCTAGTTGTCTCTTTGTCCTATTGAGTCCATGACTCAAGATCTCAGGGGTCCAGCCTCCCTCTCCTTTCTCTTGCCCCATTCCTCTTTTTGCCCCAGCATCTTTTATGATGGATGATAACAACAATCAAAGTCCCCTGCCACTAGTCTCAGTACAGCCACCAAAATAATCCAACAAAATCACAAATCCCATAGCCTTCAATGCCTGTTTAACAATTAATGATGGCTTCCCATCAGTAAAGGAATAAAATCCAAAATCCTTAGCATGATAGAAACACGTTTCATAATCTTGTCCAGTCTCAATTTCTGCTGTTTTGCAGAACCCCCTCTGTAGTCTTCCTACCTTGTGTTCTTAGAGTGTTCCTCTCTGCCATTGCTCATATTATTTCCCTACCTGGAATGTGCTTTTCCCATCTAACCAACTCCAAATTCATCCAAAAGCACCTAATTAGTTTAAGAGTTGCCTGTCTCACAATTCTTTCTCATCTCCCTACCTCCAAACCTAATAAATCCTTCTCTCCTCTTTGTTTCTGTTACACTATTGTTAGGCTTTTAGTGTTTATCTTCGGCAATAAAGAAGAGTTCATATGCTTAACCCTTGCTATGAACAAATGTAAATCAACAAATTAGAGAACCCATATTCAAATTCCTAGAAATACATAAACTACCAAAACTGACTCTAGAAGAAATAGAATATCTGAATAGACCTACAACAAAGTAAGAGATTGAATTATTAGTCAAAAACCTATTAACAAAGAAAACCCCAGGGTCAGATAAATTCTACCAGAAGTTTTAAAAAATTCATCAATTCTTTTCAAATTCTTCTAATAAATATAAGAGGAGGGAATACTTCCTAACTCATTCTATGAAGTCAGCATTATCCTGATACCAAAGCCAGCCAATCACAAGAAAACCATATACTCGCTTCTTATAATAAATAGAACATGAGCTTGTGTCTGGCCCACATTTATATCTTATCATCTGGTACACAGTGAGAAATAACAAGGCTTCAAGACCATTTAAAGGATACACATGGTCATGGTTGAACTAGAAGAGGTTGTCAAACTTGATAGAGTTTGAATCCTAATATGGTTTTAAATGGTTATAAAAATCCATCAGAGATTATCTTTTTGAGAGAGGGGCAGTGAGAAGTTGGGAGGGAAGAAGAGGATTGCTTCCTAGCTCATCATTGTGGTCATAAAACTTCTGTATTAATTACCCAGAACTCCCACTTAGCCTTATCATTACAATCTAACCAAATTACACATGCTATCATTTTCCAAACAAGAAGATTGGTTTTTTATGATTCTTTTTCCAGAAAGTTAGGATGGGGCTTGGGTGTACACCAACATGGTGCTAGTTCTCACCCAGTAAAGTTTATTTCTGATGCATATTGTGATTCCAATTTTGTCAAGAATGTTTTCATCTCTCTAGCTGTTACTCCCCCTGTTACTTGACAAGCTGATTATAATTGTACCAAGATTTCATTAGAAACACAGCAATGCTCATGTTCACAGATTTATATACAAATGACAGTTTTGGAATACTAGTTATCAGCTTCTGGGATGCAAAAGAGTCATTTTTCACCTACTGAGGTTTTATAAAAATAGGTTTGAAAAGCATCACCCAGAATCCCAGCATAAAAACAAAAGGAATTTATTGATTCATATAAATGAGAATTGAGCATTAATTTGCTTGATCTTTCACATTCAGACATTGTTATGGTTTCTTTCCTCCAAACCCCCTGCAAGAGGAGTTGGATCTTGGATCAGCTCAAGTTTCACTTAAGTAGATAATGACTTGTCCCCTTTCTTGCAGGAGTGGCTGCAAAGATGAGAGGCTACCACCAGAGTGTTCCTTGTGTTTTTCTAAAAAAAAATCAGTAAATAACAACATGAAGTACAGTTTCTCAACAGCTGAATTACCATTAAGAAAGTGCCTTGGTTTTTGTCAGATATTTCAGTGAGTTACTTGAGCTGGAACTAGAACAGAATGGAGGAACAGATGATAACCATTTTCATTGCAGTTTTATTTATTTTGTTTTTTTTTTTTACAGACTACAGAACATTAGTGGAGGATGAGAATGGAAACACAAAAGAGATGTTAGAAGGTGTAGGGAAATGAAGAAGAAAGGTGAGACAAGTGTCAGCACAAAGATCCTGCAGGGATGAGTGATGAAGAATCTTGAGTTTTTGTTTTTCTTATGTCTCATAAATTCCCTCTCAGGCTTATAACAATTTGAATAAAATACTCATTTTTGATTAATATATGTATAGTTGGACCTGGTTTGTGTGGTTTCTAAAGACTGAATCTAACTGCTGAGTTGACCATAATTTGAGCACCCAATGAAGAGCCCGTTAGAACCTACTTGTGTTTAGATTGCAGGCTTAATGCTGAAAGTATCAGTTGGAGTGCTTTTAGTTGCAAGTAACAGAATGCCAGCATAAAATGATATGGATATGGAGAACAAAAAGTATTTGTTGATTCATATAAATAAGAACTGCTCAGTGTCTGGATTCAGGAACAGCTTGATCAGGGTGCTGACTCCATTTCTCTAATTGTCTTGATTCTGCCTTCTTCCACATGATGGTTTGGCTTTTGGATTCACTACCACCATGACAAAACGACCAGTGAAGTTCCATATATCACATCATATTGAAGAAAAGTGAGGGCTTCTTTATATCAAGCACCAAACACAATTCTGAGCTTCACTCTAATTGAACCAACTGGTCACATGCTCAGTTGTCATGGCCACAGGAAGTGCCATGTTCTTACTGGCTGAAGTGAGGGTTGTGTCCCCACCCCTGAAACAATTATGTTTGAGAGCAGGATTTTCTTTTTTATCTCCATTTTTCCCAATCTTATTGGGATATAATTGTCAAATTCATGTATGTTTAAAGTGTACAGCATGGGGCGCAGCGGTTGAGCGCTGGGCTGCAAAGCTGCCCACAGCCTCTGCAGTGCCGGTTCAATCCCCGGCCACCAGTGAGAGTCCCACATGGCGCACAGACCTCTCC